TGATACTTTAATTTCTGATTCTTTTTCTATAGTTTAAGGCTCTGAGGAATTGATTGCTTTAGACAAGTCATGTGGATGAATGGGCAAGCAGATTATCTAATGATCTGGCCTCACATCTGCAGCAGTAGCTGAGTTAACACTCTTAATTACTTCTCCCCATTGGTTAGAAATCAAAACCAGCAGAGCCTGCTTCTGCTTGCAATTCTGTTTTCTGTGAAAGTTTTTTTTTTTTTTTTTTCTGTGCCTTGCACTTGCTGACCGGTTCCTTCAGGTTTATCACTGGAGGAAAATAGTAGGAAAAACTAGGGAGGGAATAATACTATAAATGGAAGATGAGTTACTCTTTAATGCAAATGGGATACTTGAGGATTGTTTTAAAAGTTTAACACTCATGAAAAGATATAACTGCAGCTGCAGAGCTGATCTGGATTGAACAGGAAGACTGAAGGCATGGATTCATGGAGTGGGGGTGTGAGCAAGGCAAAGCAACACTCCTATGGATTTAGTCAGTGCTCCAAGGTGGTGAAAAAAGTGGTAGGAGCAGAAGAAACTCAGAGACCTTCCCACTGCAGAGACTCTCAGGCTGCAGATCAGATGGCAGCAGCTTTTTTTTTTTAATTCAGCAGTTGAGAAAAGGCCCCAAACCTCATCAAAGTTGTCTCAGTTGTCCTGATGGCCCAGCAATTAGTTATCTGGGAAACAAATATCTGCCTTAACCCAGAGATTGCCTGCTGGCTCCAGCGGCAGAGTGGGTTTGTACCCCCTTTCCCTAATGTATAAAAGCACAGCCCTGGAGAAGGCCGAAGTCTCCATTGAGCTGTGAGCTGCTGTCCTGATCCTGCAAATGCTCTTCCCACAAAAGCTGCCAGGTTGGAAAACACACAGAGCTGTTATGGTTTTCAGGGTTTGAATATGCACCAAGGTAGTATAAAAAAGCGGGGTTTTTGATTTGTTTTTCTTCTGGCTTCCCTAGATACACTCAGTGGAAGGAAAGAGGCAACTATTTCAAATGCATGAGAAAACCCTCCACCTCGGGGCTTTGCACTGGCCTTGGCCTCCCTGCAGTGAGATGGTGATGCTGGTGCAGCAGCGCAGGCTCTCTGGAGCTCAGCAGGGGCTGGTGCCATCTCCACAGGCAATTTCAGCCTCTCAGTTGAGATTTGGAGTTAGAATGTGCTGGTTTTATGATGCTTTTTAGAAGAAATGTGCGGAGTTCTCAGGTTGAAGAGGGCTGTGTGGAGGAGGTGGGCAGCAGGGCCAAGGGCAGCTCCTGCTCCCTCTAGCTGCCTCTGCTGGAGCCGGGGGCTACCCCGACCCACCGGCGGGGTGGCCCCTGTTGCCGGAGAGCCTCTTTTGTCGGAGGGCCCCCCTCTTTTTTGGGGGGGATTTTAGGGGTTTTGGGGCAGTGCGGAGCGCGGGTGGCAGCGGTGGCCGCCAGGGGGCAGCGCCGCCCCGGGAAGCCCTGAGAGGCGCTTGGGCGTCACGCGGCTGTCCCTGTGCTGCGCTCTTGACTGAAACGACCCTTTTCCAGCCCAAAAGCCACCGAGCAGCCCACCCCTGAAGGCAGGACGCGCCAGCCCGGCGCGGAGGGGCGCGGGGAGGGTGCAGAGTGGGGAGAAAGAAGCTGGTGAAGTGTAGGAGACTGCTGCCCTGTGTGTGGGTCTCAGGCCTGGCCTTGCAATGTAGCACTTGCTGCCAGAGGCTGGTAAAAACATGCAAAAGGAGAAATTTAAGAAGGAAAAAGCATGAGTTGTGCTCAGATCTGGTCTATGTTGTGTCAGGAAAGGATGGTGAAAGTTGTTTTGCTAGTATCGTTTCTTAGGATATTGTGTTCTGCAGTATTATCCATTAGTTGTTTGCAGGAATGTACTTCACACTTCAGTGATGAGCAGCTGGAAAGAACAGAGGAAAAGCAGGGATGTGTGATGGGGGATTTCTTCAAACTGAGTGGTCATTTCAGGCGATCCTAATTTTTAAAAGCAGCTATCTGAACAGCTGGGGTCCTGAATAGGAGTCTAGAGGGGCACAAAGAGCATGAGAAACAGGGCAGGAGGACACGGGGGTGTTAATGGCGCAGTGTAACAGCGAGGCCGGAGGAGGCTGTGTCCTGGGAGATGCTGCCTGGGCTCTTTGTGAGCGCAGGGCCCTGCAGGGGCTGGAGGCAGCGCGGAGCCTGCAGATACCACAAGGCCAGAGAAGTCACCACCAGCCCATGTTCTCTGGATGAGAACTGAGGTCTTGATTTAAAGCTTTTTTTTTTTTTTTTTTTTTTTTTTTTTTTTTTTTAATTAGGAGGAAAGAAAAAAACACCCTAAGTTGTCTTCCTTGTGTTTTTCTTTACTACTGATAGTTTAATGTAACTTAAATGCAGAGGGATGGGGAAAGGAACTTCCTATTTTTTGTTCTATTTCCTACCTGGAACATCTTAAGAGGACATGTAATAAAAAACAAAACTTGGTTAAAAGGGCAAAAATTCCTATGCAGAATTAAAAATGGATTTGGCTCAGAAAGGTGGAAAAAGGGGAATACTGTTTACCATCTGCCTCAGAGTTTAGAAACAACCAACCTGCCCGCCCTGGATGAGGAGAAGCCCCTTGGCCATGCTGTGCCGCTCAGCGGCGGCGCTGTGAGAGAGCCCCTGTACAGGCAGCAGCATTGCTGCCTCGCTGTTATCAAGTGTATGTAGAGCTTTGCTGCCGTGTGAAGATACAGGTTGGGTGGTCTCTTGAGGCTCACTCTCCCAAATACACGTATGAAAGCCCGAGTTGCATGGCTTCCTGTGCTGTAGTTGCTGGCAGAGCGCTTGCAAAAACCTAGCACCAGAATGTCTCTGCTTAAGTGAAGACTCAAACATCAGAGACTTAATGATTTAATGTATCAATGAGCGGTGGGGGAAGCCCACTAGCTTTAATGCTGGTACTGAATGGGGATTTGGGAACAAGCCCCAGGACTGCAGCCCCCAAGGTGCACGGGGGTGCATGTTGCTGTGTCAGGAGCTGCAGCTTGCTCATGTGCGCTTTAACCCCATGAGAGTG